CGGTCTGTTTATTCTGTACTTTACCAATCAAATTTGCACTTTCGCTCTTCTACAAGCTTTCATCAGATAAATCTAAATAAAGCGGGATCTGTGCTGCATTATGCCCATGTTTCTTCATCTCTCAATTAACAGGCAAGACTTATACTCCATTTCTGACGGGATTTTTTTACCTCTGGCCTTGCTTAGTCATGTCTTGAGAAAGGCTTTGAGACAGAAGTTGAACTTGGTTGAAGACCCATGTTCGAATTAGAACGGTAGTTTTTTCTGATTCTGGAAAGTCAGCTGCACAAATCCTATTGCGATTAGAAAGTTGTCGTGGTGATTGTGTTGCGAAATCATCCATAGCACATGAAAGTTGAAGATGTGGGGGATTAGATATGTGTGATTCAACGACATAGCTTTTGGAGGCGTAATTGTTAACTTCTGATCTTTGAAGGAGCTTAGATGTAATGAAAACAATTATATCTTTATTGGAAAAAAGAAAAGACTGGAAAACTGGATTAAAGAACGTTGTCATTGTCAAATAATTATTTGTTGGGGAACTCACTTGAGATGTAGGCGTTAGTGCATAAGTGGTAAATTATTATTGCTTTTTTGATTTTGGGATTGAAGCGAATTTTTTGCTGTCGGTTCACTGAGAAAATACATTAACATAACTCTGTGTTTAGCAAAATGACGGGTTTTCGTAGATCGGTTCGTTATAAGCTTGATTAGACAAGTTGCTGCAGTTGCATAACATTGTAGCATAAAGCTGGGATAACCGTCATTTTTTATTGGATTCATATAAAGTTGCTTTATTTGAGTTGTGCTAAAAGATAACAACCGTCTGATAATATCGTGCACTCCATAACTTTCTAAAAACAACAGTTCTTTCTGCTGGGGACTGTCTGGTGAAACCAATATTACGTATATCCGGGTAATTTGGGTAGTTTTCACTGAAAAAAAAATGAATATACTGGTAGGTTAGCGTCAGATGGCGGGTGCGACAAACTCTTTCCGTTTTTTATAAGAAATTTATAATAAAATAACCTCTACCTTTTTTGGCGAGAAAAAGTAGCTTGCACAGAATTTGACGTTTTTCAAGAGACACAGTGACACCATACCACTTAGAAACCTAGTCTAGAAGTTCAGAAAGAAAAGTAATGACAATAAATTTGAAGCCTAAAACTAACCTGCTCTGACTTTAATCTATTTGCAAGAAATTAGGGCTAATTCAGCTGTAAAACGATACATTGGCTGGCCATACCGATTTTACAAGGTATTACAGGGCTAGGCTAACAACTTTTTCAGACCACAGCCTCAATAAATGTATTTCCCGGAGGAGAACAAAGTAGCTGAGCTGCAACACTGTCATTTATATTGGTCCGTTTGATTTAATTTGAAAAAATTTCTCAGAATAAATACATTCCAAGGTTTACAGTGAGTCCTAAATTATCATAATTAGCAAAACGGAACTATTTTTTCTTCTGACATTTGCTGAATCTCTGATAATGACTGCTGTGAAATGTAAGATGGGTCTGACCACTCGCAATTTAGTACGATTAAGATTATTTTTAAATTAATTGAAAAAAACCGTACAAGTTCCTCTGATTTTTTTCAATTTCTTTTAGGTAGGGATGACCAATGTTTTAAAGCCTGCGCAAGCATCATGTAATCATGTAAAAGGATATATCTATCAAATAAGAGGTTTCGTAAATGTTTTTTTTTT